AAAAAAATTACTTCTAGATGTATTGAAACATTGTTTATTTAAAAGAAACGACTTGCCTTATGAACAAGAGAACAGTTTTTTTCTAGAGATATACTTTTTTTTCAAAAGTCTAGGATAATATCTCGAATAAATTACTTAAAAACATAAAAACAATCTATACTAATATTTCAGATTTCTTCGTTAAAAAGGGATTGCGTGTTATACGGCGAATATACCTAAAAATTAAAAAAAAAAATTATCTTGAAAGTATACGGAGTATGGTGGATATGGCCCTCGGCTTGTAACCAAGTGGGTTCGGGCTCGAATACCGAGTAAGGCATGGTTGTTCTTTCTTTCTTCGTGAAAAGAAATCGGACATTCACCTGTAATGGATTCTCGTCTCGAATGGAAATCAGAACAACCCCTTTTGTTATATGCTGGGTTCAAAATCTGTAATAAATGTTTATATTCTTCTGTTTGTATTGTATGTTTCTGTTCTTACACTTGTATATTTCATATGTATCTCACAATGACAGCAGCACCATGTTATTTAAGTTTTTTTTTTTTTTACATCATTTTATAAAATATAGTCATGAGTAAATATTCATATATTGTTTAAGTCACGAATTGCATAAATATATTTACATATTCCTAGCGAATCAAAAAATTTAAGTATGTAGCATTCTATATTTATTTGATGCCAGATAAAATTTCCATTTAAATTCATTCTAAATCGTATTACTTAAATTAATAACGTCTAGTTTGTGCTTGCTTTTGTGATTTTTTCGTTTGTCATTCCCCATTGTTTCTATTTTAAAAACTTGGTATCAGTTACATAAATAACTATATTTATATACAGAAAAATGCACTTTAACACCATAATATGAAAACAAAAATCATTCTATATAAAAAGAAAAAAAGACTGAGGTTTTGTAATAAATTTAAACTGTTCTATCGCAACAATACCAGCGTTGATAATATCTCATTAAGTTGGCAACCCTGATTTTGCAAAGGGCGTACTAGCTGAGTTGTAAAACATGTGCTTCGTATCATATAATATCGCCAATACGGTTGTGATAGTGCATTATTGCAATCTCTCGCAGAAAAATATCGCAAAGGTAGTCCAAATGGAATCGTTATGCTATGTGAGAAGAAAAGCGTTGTCTCATACGAAGACTTATTAACAACAAACGAAATTAAATGCTCAACATTCCAGGAAACTGAAAGAGCTGCAGGTTTATCAAAATCCGATGATTTTATGATTGAATGATACAGCTTCAGATATAAATTGTACAATGAGGAGTTCAATGTATAATTTGTACAATGAGGAGTTGGTCCATTAGGTGGACAGAGAGTACACACACCTTAGTTCAATATCAAAATTGTTATTACAATGTATAAAATTTAAATATATCCTTAATCACTCGCTTTGGTTGCCAATAAAACGTACTAAAAACATACAATTGTCTCTCTAAATTATGCAACTAATATTTGTACGTTGTAATTATCATCATTCTCATTTTTGTTGTCAGTATAAAACGTACTAAAAATAACAAATACCTCTCTTAATTATGCAACTGATATTAGTGCTTTGTAATTATCATCATTGTCAATCCTTTATTTTCCTTGTTTTTCGGGGTTAGACTTAACACCAGAACTAGCTTAGATATCCTCATATTAGAACCAGAGATTGATGGTTATTCATGTAGTAAAGAACATCGATTTTAGACCCCAATTTCGGAATAACGGTACAAACCATCGTTAAAGAATTCTGAATCTATTTGCTCGATCGACGGTCATTAAAAGGATGAGGTCTCTAATGAAATGTTAATAAAGGATTCTAAAGCTTACTCGATGTCCAATGGTCCTAATGGTTCTCTTTTAAAGCACGCATCGGATTTATTGCAACACCTAATCTGCAAAGTACTTGGTCAAAAGAGATGCCGAAAGCGAGTAATGAAGCTCATCCACTTGAACATCACTGAAGTTACCGTAATTGTATGTGTTTGAAGCCGAAAACTCTCCATGACTTTTCGAATATTTTAACTAAACGACAAGCACTCTCTTTAAATCCATTTGATCTCATATTTCAGATCAGAAAATTTCAGTTAAGTGATTAAGTTGGAGTAAAATAGAAAAGCGTTATTTTACGAGAGAAATTTAAACATGAAATAT